TTAACATTACTAACACTATCATTAATAATAATAACAATAATGTTATTATTGTTATTATTATTATTATTATTATTATTATTATATTTACCTTCAGAGTCTTCGCCGTCATCATCATCATCATCTATAATTATCAAAGGTGTATTATTGTTTAATGTAGCAACAGTTGGAAGTTTGGAAGATAATGCTAAATTATCATTATTATTAACATGAGTATTACTATTGTCATTATTGACATTATTATTATTATCTTTTTTTTTTTTAGGCCTGACTCTTCTCTTACTTTTTTTATTATTGTTGTTGTTGTTGTTGGTATTAGAACTGTTTGCAATTATGCCGCTAGGTTTGTTTGTAATGGCACTGTTAGAACTGGTGCTAGAGCTGTTGTTAACATGTACATTATTATTGTTGCCGTGAAGATCTTGTTGTACAAGTTGTTGCTGTTGCTGTTGCTGTTGCTGTTGTTGTGATGTTTTATTATAAGAAGGAATTTGATCATTATGATTAAGGTTAAGATTGGTAGTATTAACGTTGACGACACTATTGTTGTTTTTTGAGGGATCTTGTTGGGTTAGCTTTGGTTTTTCAACAGTATAATAAATTTGAGCAAGTATGTTATCAGCGTTTTGTGATGATTCACTGTACGTATATATTTGTATAAGGAGGATTGGAATTAGTCGACAATTGCAATCAATAAAATATATAAATAGTAGTTATTGATTGATTACCTTTCAGAATCTGTCACATTTTCTTTATAAATTTCATCTTCATATCTTTCATAATCATAGTCGTCCATATTTAATAATATCAATATTGTTTTGGTTATTTTTTCCCCAAAACTATAAAAGCTAATACCAATTTATTTATATTGGGCAAGGACTTTCAAAATAAATCATGTGATTTTCAACTGGACAGTGTGTATATATAAAATCTTTCTTTATTATTATATATATAAACAAATTCTTTTACCGTTTGTTTAGTTATACACAAATTTTAATAGGTATTTATTTAAAATGCGGAATGAATGATAATGATGATGTAAAGGGAATGATTAATGTAATGATTGATGGATGAATAAATGTAAAAGTGTATATAATAATAATTATTATTATATATACTAATGTGTAAAATGAAAGAATGTAGTAGGAAGAAAATGGAAAGAAAGGGGAATTGTTATTACTATTACATATATGTATATATGTATGTAATTAATGAATGAATGAGTGGAATAAAATCTGGCGAGGAGGGGAGAAAAGAAGTAATAAAGGTGATGATGATGTGAAGTCTAATGGTTGTTGTTATTATTATTACTTATATATAAATGTATTTAAACATGAGTAGAATAATAATAGTATTAAATTAACAAATAAATTATATAAATAATAAA